CCAGAGAGGCAGAAGCGGATTAACCAAGTCCTGAGTCTAGCCCAGAGAGGCAGAAGCGGATTAACCAAGTCCTGAGTCTAGCCCAGAGAGGCAGAAGCGGATTACCCAAGTCCTGAGTCTAGCCCAGAGAGGCAGAAGCGGATTAACCAAGTCCTGAGTCTAGCCCAGAGAGGCAGAAGCGGATTAACCAAATCCTGAGTCTCCATCCCAGAGAGCCAGAAGCGGATTAACCAAGTCCTGAGTCTCTAGCCCAGGGAGGCAGAAGACATACAGACATTTGCAACAAGGTTAAGCTCCAAGGTTAAACCTTCACTTCAAGGTACTTTCGTCTGCGTGTTCCAGATGAAGAACCTTCTGCAGCTACTTCAGGGCCTCATCTGCATCTTCCAGATTTTAGGACCCTTTTGTGTTCCAGGAGATCAGCACCTATAGCGCTCTGTGCTCAAGGCTTATTAGTTTCAGAGAAGCATATTTATCTTTCCATTAGATAACGTCACTCTGACATAGCAACACCCAACTTACTCACTTGCATCTTATGCACTTTATTCCTTTGTCATTCATGGTATTCATTTAGTAAATGTTGTTTACTCTTGTTTATCTTTTGTTAATAACATTTATTTTGTTAGACTTGAGTCTTCCCTGTGTTGATAATCCACTTAAATGCGGATTAATGACATTAACATTAACCTGTATTAAGTCGATCCACGTTTTAGTATTTGTCACTTTTTCTATGCTCTTATTTTCCCTTATTACACGGCTCTGTGGAATACTTGATTCTGATTGGTCAGTCTTGACATTCTGAGGTCTGTTATCCCTCGATAACAACCAGTAAAAACTAATAACACAGGCTCATCCGGGTAACTGAAGTCGCCACTATACTCTTGCTAGGAACATTTTCTCTTTGTGGAAGCTTTGCGTTTGGTTAGCTAATAAAATATTAAAACTCAATTCAATATTATGTGTTCAATTATTTAATTATGTCATCCTGGTATCGCGGACTCGCTCTCTCGTTTCATACAAACACAGCTGCTACCATTTTGCGATGATTGTTTTGTACGCTGTAATAGATTATAAGATAACTAACCAACTGGTAAGATTTTAAAACATTTTATCGCTTTGATTATTTAGGTGGTGAAATGTTGTGTAATAAGTGGTTTGAATGCACCGTATCCCTTAAATGCCCGTCTAGTTTGAACTTGCCGCTTGTTAGCAACTGCTTTCTTCACGGAAGCTTAGCGTTCAAATATTTCAACTCAAATCAATATTTCGTGTCCAATTATTTACTTATGTGGTAAGCAGCCGTGTAATAAGCGGGATAATGTACATCCAGCCAGTTGTTATCGCAGAATAACCCCCTTCAGGGTGATACAAGGCCTGATTCACTTCGGGGTCCTGATCACCCTGTCGGGGGTTATTCTGCGATAACAACCTGCTGGATGTACATTATCCCTTACTTAATATCTTCCTGTCCTAGATTTATGGTTTTGAACGATGACTAAAAACTTGTATAACAGGCACTTCTCATGTTTATTGCCATCTTATGATGAATCGCTTGTTATTTTCCTCAACTGTAATTTGCTTTGAATAAAAGCGTCTGCCAAATGAATAAAAGTAATTGTAAATGTAAAATAAAGTTTGATAACAATAACAAGTTGATCAAAACACTTTCTCTCCAACGTGAATGCTCATGTGCCTGTTATTGCGTCCTTTTACAGTGAAACGGTTTCTACAGTGCTCTTAGGTGGAAGGCATTTGTCCAGTTTGGGTGTGTTTACACTTGGCATTAACATGCGATCACCGTGATCTGATCAAGCAGATCGGATCATCAGTCAATCAGGACATGGCGCGTTTACATTTGCCAACATCAAGTGACTTCTCTATCTGGATAACCGATCAGATCCCTCTTTCCCGCGCAATATTTAAATGAGTCTCACACCGTGTCTACACCGGACGTGACAAAATACTATAATCAGTGATGCTGTCTACACTGGATGTGGCGCGAAACGACAAATCCCCGATAGTAAGCTGCTGCCTCATTCTGTTTATGAGGTACTGACACAAAGAACAAATGATTTGCAACAGTCGCTTTGTCGCGGCCAGTGTAGAGAGCCTCACGCTGTTGCAGCACGGCGCAACAACGGTCTCGTCAAGTGTACGAGTCTTACTAGCGCTCCACGGCCTGGCGTCCTCCATCTTTCTTCTGACAGTTCGGGAGAGAGGGGGCGGGGTTTTGCGTGACGTTGACCTGCGAATGCAGACTCGATGGCTGGATTGCGTTTACATTACACTGAGAGCTGATCACAATGCGTCCTCGACTACCTCTGGACCAGGACACGCTGACCGGATAGCATTCCAATCAAGAAGTGCGTTTACACTTGTCTTTTCAATGTGTATGTGGACAACATCCAGATACAAGTCGCATGTTAATGACAAGCGTAAATGCAGCCTTTGATTTCTCATATAGACTTTAAGGTTTTAAAGCTGATTGAAACTCTGTCTCTCCGGTGTGAGTTCTCATGTGCCTGGTAAGGCTTCCTTTTTGATTAAAACCATTTCCACACTGTTTGCAGGTGTAAGGCTTCTCTCCGGTATGAGTTCTCATGTGGATTTTAAGGTTTCCATATAGACTGAAACTTTTTCCACACTGTTGGCATGTGTAAGGCTTCTCTCC